GAATGTAATAACATTGTTTTTTGGTCTGCATTCGAATCATCTTCTGACCGTCTAAGGTCTATAAGCGTGTCATTCATAGAAGCCTATAGCCTATTGTAACTGTGTAGAATAAGGTCATATAAGCTGGAAAGTATTCTGAAGTCATGTATATATAGTAGCTCCTTATGAAGTCATTCAGTCGTGCATATAACTTAATTACTGTTGTTGCTTGTTGTCTGAATGCTAATCGCTGTTCAGTCTTCTGTAAATATCCAAAAGAGGCAAGAAATTAACGCTTATTAGGCTCGATAAACATAGTGTTTATATTTATAAATCAATCGGTTTTTTAACCACCATTTCAAATAAAATTATGCATCCAAACAAACTTGTAATTTCTCTTCTTTGACCAAATTTTTACTATTTCGTCTTTCTGGTCAGACTATAATTTATGGACGACCTTTGGGCAACGCTTTAATGACCTTGAAATAAGTAAAATCTGTGATAAGTATATCCAACCAACACTCTAACCAGTATAGACACTCAGTAAAAGAAAATGCTCATATTAAGAATATATTCCTTTTACCCAGAAAAAATTATATTCTGTCTCACAGACAGGCAATCTACTCCAAGAGAAGAATTTTACACGGAATGTAAAAATTAATAACTGTTTGTTAACAAGAAACTTTCATAAACATAGGTAACGTGCCTCAGATACAATTATAGAAAGTTATATAATAATATGTGACAATTTCCAAAGGACAGTGTTGGATGAACCGAAGATTTTGTCGATGTTAAAAGTCTCGAAAACACCAAGAGGTCATCTTTTTTCTAAATCTTTGATAACTGAGAAATAGTAAAACATTCTGGACATATAATGCCCAAATGCAAATAGCAATAGAACAGAATATGTGCAAAGGTAGATGAAGAAATATCGTATTGGCATTGAGCCCTGACCGCACAATCCTCAAAGTTGAACACGAAAATACTGAGAAAATAGATATTCAACATTTAACGTGGAGAAAAACTCAACAATGGAGGAGGCGGGAACAATGAGTTGACTTATTTCTAATTGATCGGATGGCATGGCTCAGCAGTGCAGGCGTGGCTTTACATATGTAGCCTTATTTTTATCCATATTAAACATATCGTTCTACCTCCAGTCTAAATGTGTTTTTCATCAAGTATTGGTGGTTGTTACAACGCGATGTATCAGGGTAGACAATGGTGTGACTTCCACGTAACATCATATAGATTAGGCAGTTACACCATAACAAACCTACAATTTTAGGATTAGGCCTATTATTAGAGCAGTATTAATATCAAGGTAGACCACAATTCTACATTGGTAAGCCAACTAAAGAAACAGAACCTATTATTGTTAATCCTTATTTCCAATTTAACTTTCTCGATCGATTTTTACCTGTGTTAACCAGAATTCTATTAATCCTCCGATTAGTGCTCACGTGTATTATCGTAATGTTGTATTGGTTAGTACTCATGGCATACTAACTCAATCGTCACGAATAACTGGTCATCTATATTAATTATTAGTTTCGTTGGTTCATTAACAGGCTTCAATAACATTTATATGCTTCAGCGAAATAAGCTTGTTAAAACATCAAGCCATAGCAAATATGACCTGTAAATAATCTAAATATACATTAACTAGCAACGTAGGCAAGTACCATAATTTTTGCAATATCTCCTTATGGGGCGCATGCATTGGGGATTATCTAAAGAATGTAGGCACATACACATACGTGCCAAGTCAGTCAATCTTAGGTAGCTCTAGTATTCTCAACTTCAACATTTCTACCAACAACAACCAGGTTTGACATTATCCTTCAAAGAGCATATCAACTTCGATCATTTATCCTTACTCTTCAAAATACCATCAGCTATTAAGGAAGTAGTAATAATAAAGCCTTGCCCTAATTATAATTATTATCAACTAACCGCTCCGAAAAGTAAGTTAGCCTTTTGTTAGAAGAATTATTCAAAACTCCACGAAATTGTAACTGAAATCTCGAGAAATATGTCTGTAAACCTAAAAGAAACTCAAAGTGTGAGAAAATATGTCCTAAGACGAAAAACACTGTTGGAATATCAGTAACTCAGCACACGGAAATGGTAGCAACCGCAATAACTTCACAAAAAGAGGAAATAGTAATAGCGAGCCAGATTTGCCATTCTCGGCTGAAAGAGTTGGCAAGCTACACAAAACAAGCACAAGTCTAGTGGATATCCTACTATGTTCATACAGATGCTTCAAAACAAACAAGTCAAACTGGTCTGTGAATTACCGGAAAGCCCTTCATAAAACTGGTAGGAATGACATGAGACACATTATGTAGGCAAAGAGAAATATGTTAGATGAAGTTAACGGAGTTATCGATTTTTCCGGATGTACTGAAACTTCGTGTGATGGCATTCGTTTATCCATTCGGGTTTGATTCGAGCCTGATTGCCTATTTGGGTGACGATGTCCGATTCCGTCATATGCAATGCATATTCGCTTCTTCATTATAAGAATAGCCACAAATTGTTATCGACATTCAGTGCAGTCAGTTCATTCACTTATTCACTAAGTTGATCTGGTAACTAACAGTTAGTGCGTGTCGAATGAATGATTTTCTCTCAGGTCAATGCGGTCACCGGAAATCTGCTGTCGCTGGATCATTGATTACCTGCTGAGAATGATGGAAGTAAGATCATATGGATGTTAAATGTAATTTCCTTTCAGAATTCCCATAATGTGTTAAGAGTTGCATATGCTTTCACCCTTCACTGTTTCGGTCACTAAAGGTTTGAAAAATCAGTAATAGAAAGTAGTCTGAAGAGATATCCACATGCAGTTTAGTTTCGTACCAGTAAACTCCTCATGTCTCTAGTTTTCTTTACGCTAAAAAGGCACAATATTATTTCTATGCAAATGGAAAATTATGTAGAAGCCCGTCTCTACGGATGAGTCTTCTCAAGCGTTTGACAATCTACATATTTAAAAAGTCTATAATAATACAGGTTCATTTTCCAAGTTCTATGTTCTTTCCTAGGAAATTTTGACATCCAGATTCGGATCCGTATCACTTGGTAGCCTAACCGCTCCACTGTCCGGAGACGTTCATTTCACAAGTACACTACACACCTAGACAAACCCAGAGCAATCATTACACACTGCACTAGTATGTGATGAACATGAAAGGGTGGTGGGCAAGAATTATAACTTAGGTGGATGATTTCGGTGAAGTTTTGTTCTCTGAGCACAAACATTTTGTGCTGATAATGTCGTTCAGAAAAACGATGAGAGCTGTGCGACCAAACGAGCGAGCTCAGAGAACAAAACTTCAACAGAAATATGAAAGGGTTCATAATAATGCGTGAGGACTAGTTGTGGTAAAAATATGCATACTGTCAAACTCATTTGACAAAAAAATATGTATTTAGGAATCGTGTACACTTTATAAGCAATCGTTCAGAGGAGACGTGTAGCCCATTCACCTAATCTTACTAACTGATCAATTTTTCTTCCTCGTTTCGTGGTTTTTAACTCATCTATGTTAAAGCAACTTCTTTGGTGGTTGAGATTCATGTCTTTAGAAGTACTGAGTTTGAGGCTTCTGATAGACCAATTTTGAACCTCAGTGGTCTGGAATCAGCTACTTTTGAACTCGCCAAAGACATGGAAAGCAAGTCAATCAGTGAAATTTGAGAACAGAGGAACAGATGGGTAGAACACTCTAAAGAACTCTTGAATAAACCAACTCCACTGAATCCAGCGTACATCGAAGCAGCATCCACAGACCTTCCCATAGATGTCACTCCACCAACGATGGGAGAAGTCAGGATTTCCATCATACAACTTAAGAGTGGGAAGGCAGTAGGACCTGACAATACAACAGCTAAAGCACTGAAGTCAGACATTGAAGAAACTTCAAGTGTGCTATTTAGGAAGATTAAGATGAAGAACAAGTGCCGGCAGACTGGGAAGAAGGACACCTCATCAAGATACGAAAGAAAGGAAATCTGAGAAAACGTGAGAACTATGGAGTCATCATGCTATTGTCAGTGCCAGGGAAAGTTTTCAACAATGTTGTTGAACCGGATGAAAGACACAAGCACTTGACAGCATGGATAGGAGAACCTCCTGGGATAATCTTCGACACTAGTGTACTTGAGAAGAATGTCATCGTCATACAGAATTCTTACAATGGACTACAGCTGTTCATGGAGGGCGGTTGATAGACGAATTCCAAATGAAGACCGGTATCAGGCAGGGTTGCTTACTCTCGCCCTTCCTCGTCTATATAGTGGTTGACTGGATTATAAAGACCTCAACATCTTAGGACAAGCAATGAACACAGTGGACAGTTTGGATGCATCTAGACTGCTCGGACTGTGCATATGAGCAGAGCAGCTGTCAGCCAGCACCACAACCAGAATTGTCAATGCAAACGTAAAGACAGTTCGATCGAATGGAAGTGAAACTTCGAGAACTAAGCAGCCATGATCCTAAAGGTACATGTATTTGTAAGCAATTGTCTACTCACGATGCACAAATCCGTTGGATAAACACTGTCAGCAACGACCTACTATGGCAAGGAACAAACCAGCCTCCAACTGAAAGGATTAGGAAGGGACGATAGAGGTGGATAGGACTGTGCAGAAATATTCAAACTGCATCACGAAGCAAGCGCTAACTTGGAACCCTGAAGGGTAAGGGAAAAGTGGAAGGACAATGAACACGCTGCGCCGAGAATTGGAGTCAGGCATGAGAAGGATGAATAGCGACTGGAAAGAACTAGAAAAGATTGTCCAGCTCAGGGTTAGATGGAGAACGCCTGTGAGCGGCCTATGCTCCTTGACGATGGGTAATAGACGTATGTAACCAAATAATCCCTGAAAAACCAAAATCCAGAACTGTGTAGATTATGAAAAAGTACCGAAAAACGATTGAAAGATAGGGATGGCTGCGAAAACAGAAGTAATGTTAAATCTCACCTCAATCACAAGCGTCTTGTTTTAATACCTAACGAAACTGGCGGCAGAGTCCATTTAGTTTCAATTCCCTCGTAAGTAAATACAAACTCTGATTGTGGCTCTGTAGTGCGGGCCTGTTTTACTTGTATTGGCCTTCTGTTTCATCTTCAGTGTTTTTCTATTAGGTTTGGTTTGGGATCAAAGTTATTCGCCCTTAAATATCAACATTCTGGACAAAGCTGGAAGGACTGCTTGCTTAGAGACAGTCGGTCGGAATAACAAGTCTTCAGATAGTTACTTAATCTCTAATAAATCAGAAATTTTACGTGAGCCTCACACATCGAGATGGACCGCTGGCGTCACGCTGGCTTCAAAATCAAGCCATACCGATTCTATTCGTAAGGAGGTTCTGTTGTAAGTTTGCTCCGTTTGAATAATTCCGAATTAGCATTCTTAATAAGCTTACTGCCGAAAATTTCGAACAACAGGGTGATAAACTTCTTAGCTTAGATATCACTTCAACTTCCCTTCATGTCATTGCTCAATTAGTAAGCTTATTTTCAGTACTTACCATTTTAGATTTATCAAAAAGCCATCAATGAACCAAAATTTACTTCTTTGTACGCCCAATTGTGTTTAAAACTATGCAGTAGTGTCCCTAATTTTGAGTCAGGGGGTTCTCAATCGGTAAAATAATTGAATTGTTAATCTTCCTTCAGACTTTTCAGATATTCTTAATTAAGTGTTGTGAAGATGAGTTCAAGACCAGAGATGTTTGTGATGATCAGATCTCACGTCAGAAGTGCTTGGGGAATCTACGCTTCATCGCTGAACTTGGGATTTGTGGTGTTATGTCCGAAAAAGTTCTGCATAACTGTGTTCAAGAACTTCTTTCCAGGAAAGGGCAACCTAGTTCAGTCAACGATTCGGAGATACATACATCTGCGCAGGAAAAAAACAAAACAGGCGAGTAAACTTTTATAGCAAAGAGTAGAATTTTCGTAAGTATCGGGTTAAGTCAAGAAAAGTCTTGTTCATTAGGTCAATGAATCGATGTATGAAATGTCAATTTAATTTGTTCAGGAATATGTATATCTTTCTTGTCAGCAGCTGCTCTGGACTTGATACAAAAGCCTTCGAGTGCTCACTAATTCCCCGTTGCTTTTGTTTTAGACTATCAGGCCTAAGTCGTTATTTACCCGTTCGCTTGGTACTTTGAAGCTACCTGTTTATTTCTAGGTCGGTAACTTCAATTGCTGTCCAAATAAGAGGAACCAATAGAAATTGCTATCATTTTACGACATATCTGCTTATTATTCGAGGCTTCGGAACACTTCTGAGTAGGTTAGTAGGTGCCTATTTTAAGTTGGTTTGTTGATGATTTCTCCTAGGTTTGATGCTTTTATGAGACAGATGGTAATTCATTCCCCTATTCAGTTTAGTTGAAAGGAGTGGCCCCTCTAAGAAAACCACCTGCTTCGGTTTGGGCACCCGGGCAGTATCACAGCCCTCACACATGTCGAATGAGAATTGTGTGGTGAGACATGTAACCTACTGGCATCAAAGGCTGTTGTCCCCGAGCTGGATATCTGTAATTATGATTAATCTCTACATTAAATTCAGCTTGTTCATTTTTGTTGAGATTCATGGATATTCAGTGGAATGCGAATTAAATTGGCAGGTTTCGGTCGCCCACCCTAATGGACAAATAAGTATTTATCTGTGAGTTGATCCAGATCATCAGTTGGACACTGCTAGCGAAGAACCGGCCTAGTGGCTAAATCACTTGAATTTTAATCAGTAGATCATATGTTCAGACTCCATATTGCTTTAGAAAACCAGGTTATACCACCGACCTTTACAGTACGCAATAAATACAGGTGTACTCGGTAAATAAATTATATCATTGCTCTAATGTTGTATTGATCATTGTCTTGTCTTAGTTTCCACTAAGTCAATCCTCATTATAGGTTTTTATGCAGTTGTGTAAATGTTTTTTGCAGCCCATACAATTCGGGAGCGCTCTTTGTCCGCTGACTTGGAATGTCTTTGTCAGTTCTTGACTGCTGTTGGGAAGCACATGGACACACCGAAAGCGAAAAACTTAATGGATCAATATTTTCATCGATTGCGTCGTATATTATCACGCGCTTACGATTCAAATGGATTAACATCCAACAAACATGAAAATGTATCTACGGAAGGAAAAACCTCGAAGTCGTTATCGAAGCCGAATGACAACTGTATCTTATCTTCTAGAGTGCGGTTCATGATTGAAGATTTGATAGACCTAAGGGAAAACAATTGGATTCCACGTCGAGCTGGTCAGCGTACAGAAACAAACAAGCCACGTTTCCTTCGAGATATTCGCTTGGAAATATTAAAAGTAAAATTTTGCCGAATGTTTTGTGTTAACGTGAATTTTACTTTTAAAAATCTGTCTTCAAAGTATTTTCTTGCCATTAAGTTTGCCTTAACATGAATCAAAGCTCTTATCTTTTATACTGGTCATCACATCCAGTTTTTGTTAAATTTTGTAGTGGTCCTATCAATTTTGTTAGTGAGTATCAATACTCCACATAGAAATAAAAACACAAAGAGGGGCGAAGTAAAAATTGACATTTGGTTTTTCTAGTTTGTTAAATCCACTTCATTGAGGATCCAGCAAATAACTTGGAATTATCTGAAGCCTGTTAAGAATAAGATAAATCCAGTCTATGTTCTTTAATTTCCGAGTTACAATAAGCAAAACGTTACATGTAGTTTATTTACAGGCTACATTATTTTTGCAAATGATGGAGTTGCTTGGAATTGTTTAATTACCAAGAAAAAAACATTTCTGCAATCCAATTGATTCGCGTTAGTTGATAGAGGGAGGTAAATGCTTCTGTGTACTGAAGTTCATGTGGATGCAAATAAAAATAATACAGTTGTCTTACGGCTAATTCATTGGTTCTCAATTATCATGGATTTTACCACATTTGAGCAACATAACGAACTAGTTTTATTTCCTTCTAAAAGACCACTAATTATTCTAACAACTAAATTTGGCGAGGCTGTAATTTATGGACGAACCAATTAGATATAAGACGACGAGTCACGAATTCGGGCGCGGAATTCATTCATACATTTGGCTAAATAGAGTTTTGGCATTATAGCTGATGTCAATTCGTGATGAAAACCCTAAATCTAATTTTTAACACTAACCATCAACTGTAAATAATAATTCTAACTGCCTCATAACTCTCATTTAGTCCTAATTAGTAGCTGTTCACTTTCAAAGTCACTTCAGCGTCGCTCAAAGATCGTCCATAAATTACAGTCTCACCCTAAATTCTTCTGTTTCCCATTTCTGCCACATTGTTTTTAATACTGCTTTACTTTTTAGGAATCTGGAGTCCTTGTTGCCCCAACTCCAAGTGAGCGCTCTGTCACACAGCCAGATGTACCTGGGAGTGCTTTTATGGGTCACTCATCAGCTTCGAGTAACTCTTCAGTGAATGGCGAATTTCCTTTCGTAAGTGGTCTGAGCTCTAGTTCATCGAAAAATAATAATGGACTTAATAATGGTGAAGCTAAAAGTTGGATGGAGTTGGCGCGAATGGGTGAAGAACTTTGTCGTCAAAGTCCTCGTGATTTTTGTTTGTTGGATAACAGAAATCGTATTGGAGAGAGCCCCATTAGTCAATTTCATGGACGTCCACAGGCTGGTGTTGCCACAGCTAATCGGCGCTTTTTGTCTAGCAAAAATGATTCAAACAATATTCCTCATCAAGGCTCTAAACCAAATAACACAGACAGCTGGACCAAAAGAACGGAGAAAAATGAAGTCATTAGCGATGTAGGGTGGGTACGTGGTGTCAACCCAAAACTACGGAACTCCGTTATTACTCTGAATAACGGCATATCAACAACTAATTCTAATTTACCTCCTCGAATGCTCAGAAAACTGGCTGCGGAAGCTGCTGGGAATTTACAGAATAACTCGACATCAAACGTTTTTAACGAAACAAAACAACCTGTCCATTCGGAAGTACAGAGCTTCCATGCAAAATCCACTTCTGATAGTATGACATCCATTTCCAAAAACAGTACATCCTGCACCACGTCTTTTATCCGTCTCATTGGGCAAGTCAGTTCCTCTGATCCTTTTGAGGTAAATCTCTTAAATCTTCCCATTAGTTTCATGAAACCAAATATCGTTTTTGGGCGTAATTCCGTTTTATTCAGAATCTTACTGTAGTCTAAGGATTCGACTCTTCATTCTGTTCCACTGGTTCAAATAATTGGTATTAGTGTTTAATATCTCAAGTTTACTATACTTTTCTATCTTTGTTTTTGGTGTTATTGCTTCATTTGTGTATCGTCTTAACATCAAGATATTTGTGGGTTAGTATACTTGATCAAAGTTTATGCAATGAGAACCAAAAAACCTGAAAGTCTCAATCAGTCACTATTTATGAGAGTCAATGAGCACCTCACTGAGTTTGGTTTTGTGGACTTTGTCAGAAATAACTACGTAAAACCGACAAGAGGCGTCTGTTACTGTAGTAAAAACACCAAAAACACTAGTCTAAGTTGTGTGAAACTTAACTTTCCTAACTACAAACGTAGTCTAGTTCCTAGTATGTGTATACAATCAAACTGTTAGTTAAATATTGACACTGTACACTAGTGACCCTCTCTTCTTACATTTCTAGTGTGTTTACTTTGATAATACATGAATATAGTATTCTATTTAATGACATTCAGTAATGATATCAGTTTATCTCTGATTGGTTTTGTACTTGGGTTGTTGTCCCGACCCACTTATTCAACAAGTATAACTGACCTTCATTTGTTTGGTTTTTTTTCGAAGCCTGCATACCTGCAAAAAGAAAGGTTATCGGTCAGTGGTGGAGACGAAGTCAGTACCCAAAAACTTGTTTGGTCTTATCCTAAATGTGTTCCAAACACGGCGATTTATGGTAGCTCAAATCCAACTCTTCCGTTTAAACCACAACCTTCTATTTCACGTCCTCCTCACTTAACAAGCAAACCGAATTTCCCGGATATTCAAACAGCAGTTCAGAAACCATGTAATCGTAAATTTGACCAGGTTAGATCATCTAATTTGAACAACATGGTCCAGTCATCAAACAATCTTGCTGAAAACAATTACAATACCACGCACGCCGTTGATGAAAACAGGAAAATCGCCCTTAGATTAGTAAGTTTTTGTAGTCATTTTTTATTGTAATGTTAACCTGCAAGATCTAAATATTACATCTGTAGCCTTATTTGCGAATGCCATCGGCTTATACAATTTCGCACAACCAAAACCAACTTCAATGGAAGGGCTAGATCTTGTCGGGCCTGAGATCTGTGTGAAGGATTGAGTCAAATAGCTGAGGGATCGTTCCAAGATTGTGTTTCGGTTGACAGCTACTTTTGCAGTGTCGGAGTGGATAGCACTTTAAAAATATGAAGTGATGGATGTTATCAAATAAGGTTTTAATAATATGAGTTTTGGATTATTAGAACGAAGAATGCGAACCAGTAAATGAAATGTAATAACGTGGTATTACTGAGTGCTAACTACTTACGAGAACGAATTATTTAATTATGTTCCCTGTTGTATAGATATCAAGAAACATGAGCACTGACCAAAAAACTTGATTAAATAAAAAACAACATACAAACTATTAACAAAGAAATTACTCACCTTTCAGTCAGTCAAAACCTGACTATTAGGGGTCATTCTTATCTATCATATCAGTTATACATAGTTTTGGCTTAAACATTCTGACTTACACTTGACTTATTAATTCCAGTTTCTTTTATTAGTCTGTAGAGCTGTCTTGTGTTCCCTGTAGCCGCCGCCTTTTCCATCTCTTGCTTTCGTTGCCCACCACTGCTCACGGTCGTTCCTTAGACTTTTGCTTAACCTAGATCTGATTTGTTGTCACTCTTCATCGTGTTCAGAGCCTGATGGGATGAGTTTACGAGAATCCATCAGTGCAATAGACCTTGACGAAATCCGTTGGTTCTTTGTAACCCTGTGGTTTAAATCACTGATAGATGTCACGGCTGTTTACACAGCTGTTTGTATAGCTTTCCAAGCAACATCTGGGTCAGCCTCGTTTTCAGAACTACCTAAGTGTGACCTCAGTTGTTCCTGGTACCTACTTTTGGTTTTCTCGCTACTCAATTCAGTTCCAATGGGTCTTCTTAATGTGGTTTTCCTGCGTCCAGAGAGGCGCAAGCAAACGCGTGCTCGTATTAGAGCATGATTGGAGTTCAAACAGGTATTTCAGAACCAGCGACAATCTTTTACCGACCCTCTCTAACGATGACTGATGACAATATGGTCTATTTGAGTCCATCGTTGGTTTGGTGTAAGGGGTCGATATCTCTCCTTATGCTTGAAATTTGTGTTTGCTAAAAATAAACGATTTTCGAAGCATAGTTGCAGCAGACGATCACCATTATCTGTTTGTTGTGCCGGAATACTAAAATACCCACCTAAATGCCTTTTTGTTTGGTTTAAACAACCTATTTGGGCATTAAAGTCACCTTCTACGAGCACTATGTCTGAACGTTTAGCTTTCTGAATAAGTTTAGATAGCTTTCTGTAAAATTCATCTTTCACTTCATCTGAGCTGCAGTCGGTGGGAGCGTAGGCAGAAACGAGCAAAAGGCAACGACGTGTGTCCATATCCTTCCGAGTTCTTACGGAGCCGTTTAGCCGAACAGCACATAAACGACTGTTAACGGGGATCTACTCTAACAGCCCTTGTTCCGCCCTCATGCTTAGTGCTGTCTCTACTCCTGCCAGTCCACGAGAGCTGGCCGTCGGGTCACCAGATTCACGTAGGATGTATCTCGTTGGCTCTCCGTTTTGCCGAGGTGAGGTCAGGTGAATGACCACACTGGGATCCTGTATGCGTGTTTCATAGACACAGCATACATCAATGGTACGAGATTCTAGGGTTCTAGCCAGGGAAGCCTGTTGACCGATTTGACATACGTACATGCGTACATTGAAGGCTCCAGGGTGTAGTTTGGAGCAAGGTTTCAGTAGACCTGGGACAGTGTTTTGCGCACTAGAATCGTTGGCTGTGATGACACTTGAGGGGGAAGCCGGAAGAGGAAGTTTAAAGGTGAAAGTCGATGTAGGAGGAATAATAGAAATTGAAGAGGGAGGTTGATTATGAATATAGTGGTCTTGAGTGCTGTTAGAGGTATGAGGGTGGTTATTCACTTCCCGGTTGCCCACACCGTGGAAGGGTTCTTCTAGAGGTACCTGAAAAGGAAATTGGATTAGGGGTGGTCTTAGTGACCTAAGAGCGTGACTGCATAGCCCAAGGGACAACTGCTTGAGGTCGGTCACACACGACCTTTTATGGGTAATTTTCGTGTTAGCTCCGTACTTGTTGAGACCTTACCTCTGGAGACTGATATCCGTGGGATAAGGCGAAATGTGCATTTTTAGGGTCAACCTTTTCTAACCCCACTCCTCCTTGTGGGAAGGCAGCATCGCTGTTATGCTGGTTGTCTGAAGGAAACACCTTACTGCTGTCACACCTCTTTACAGTCTGCAGTACGACTTCGCCTTCGAACCTTAGGTTTGTTGCTTTTAGTCTTACCGCTCTTCAACCGACCTGTCTGACATGGTAGGACCTTGAAGAACAGTTGTTCCAGCTAGTATAGCTCGGTTGCTTCATCACGATAGGCAAGCCCGACCACCACGTCAAGGTAGCAACAACGATCGGGATGAGCTACACTAAGTATCTAATGATGCTACTCAGTTGCCCAAACGAAAGTAGGATAATTGGGGCGTAAACCTAAGATTTATTGACTGAAAGTCGGACTCCTTAACCATCAAGCTCATCATGATACCAAATGTATTAACAGAAATAAATTGCTTTTCACTAAACTTATAATTTACAGCTCACTTTATTGGGAGATTCTCGTGATCCTATCCTGGTTAAAAATCAATTAAATTCATCGGATTTCAGTCGAATAACAACCGAAGTTCTTGCCGTCGCTGTTTTACATTTATGTGAAGAAGGTGAGACTAGTTGCTTTATTTTTATTCCTAAGTTATATGTTCGAGTCTCAGTTGTGTCCATTAAATTACCACATTGAAGACTACGTCGTCCATACATTTATATCATATTACCCTTCATGCTTGAAAGTGGAGTGTATATACGATGAAAAATACATATTAAGGCCTAGGCATGAAAACATGAATTAAAACACGAAGAATATTCTTTTCAATAATTTCTCATCAGGTTCTACAATTATAAATTCAAATTAATAAACCATAAATTTGGCCAAGTTTAGGGCAGAGTACATCATTTAAAATTGTAATATGTGAATCAAGAATTGTTTGTCACATAAAACTAAATCAGATCGTTAATGATGGGTTTGACTAATATAAAGTGTTAACTTGAATCAGTTTATAAGTGAAATGAAATTGTGACTTAAATGATCAGAATAAATATGGTCATTATGGGGTGAGAGAGAGTAATGGAATAAAAATCAGAAGTTACGTAATGTGTAGAACAATATGAATTAGGTCAGATATAGTAGACAGGGCTGGATGTTGAATAGATTTCTCAAAAAGTTAGTGTAATAATAATAGTGATAAAGATAATAATAATAATGACTGGTAAAATGTGTGGATGAGTTTAGGATATAAGAATAAACATTAATCGAATGTCTTTTTAAACCATATTACCACAATTTAGTTTTCCTTTTTACCACTTTATTTTCATTTTGTCTCTTGTTATTTCCATCTCGTGCTAATCAGTTATAGCGACCTGGGCCAACGCACATTTGTTTCATTGATGTTGATGTCTGTCTGACTGTTAAATGGACAACACCATGAAATTAAAGATTCAGACAAATGCTTGTTTGGAAATTTTGACCCATTCGATATTATATGACAATCGATCTTTGGTTTGCCGTTTGCATATTTATTTTAGCACATGTTATTGTCTAAAAATAATGTTCCGTACGTTTTAAATTATCATTCGCCTATATGAGCAGTTGTACTCGGATCGATTATCCTCTCTTTGCTGACGTATAAGACGTCAGAAACTACAAATTTTTCAGCATTTTCCGGTGACCCTTTTGTTTCATTATTAAGTACCGATCCAACTTCATCGGTTCTATGTGCAAGTACACCCCTAACTTACCATTTATTCTTTTTACAATAAACGTCAACGAGTGGAAATAACGTTTGTCTAGGATTGTTCCTCTTATCACTAATCACGTTTTCAGACATTAAAAATGCTTTAGTGAAGAACATTCTCAATGACATCATTTACTAAGGCTGTAAACTTGTATTCATAGCTCTGCTAAATGACATTGTCGAAAAAATTTTCCTAGTTGAAACGCTGAAACCCAATGGTTTTCTTTCACTGTTTTCAGACTTCATTATTCTCACAGTGGATCCAAAGGTTAGTAAAAAACGAAAAGTAATTTGTACGAAATTACAAATTTATGTCCGAAAATTATTGTGAATCGATCAATTGTTTATCGGATTATCTTGAGATAATTCTTAAGAAATTGTTACTATTCCACTTTACTCTGGTTTTAAAAGCTCTAGGTACGGCATATCAGTTCATAGGTGATGATAAGCTGACAAATATCTACGTTAGTGGGCTTCAGAAATATGTTATAACGCTTAGCAGCTTCTCATAGAAACAATGTAGTAAAACCTAACAGGTTTGTCAAGTGACTCACATTACCGAGATTTATTTAATTAAAACGTTAGTATTATAGTTGCCTATTTGAGGATATTCTGAACAATTGTATACTGTTTTTCAGTGTATAGACGGTATATGCTTATCATGTATTCATGAACGCCGATGCTGACCATTTTGATACACATCTAATTTCCAGGAATGCTTTTATGTTACATAGTGTTGTCCAATATTTTTAATTGTTCCAAATCTGTTTCTATAGTTATTACAGCTGTGTTTCAGTCTCACAAGTACACATTCTCATAGGATTTTATTGACTTGTTTGCTTGTATGTCTCATTTATATCTTACCCTAAAAGTAAAATTACTTTTGTTTCCTCAAGGTACTAATCTTAAGTTGGCGGAGGCGGAACCATGTGAATTAGCTGCGATATTAGTAGCATGTGCTGAAAATCTATTGCATCGCGATACGTCTACGTCATTCCTTGCATCTAAGGATAATCGCAAAACGAAACCCACAAAATTGTCGTGTCATCCTTTATCTCTCGTATGGTCAAACCTCCTTAGCAAGATTTTATGTGTGACACAGTTAACTTATTCCAAGTCCAAACTAGCATTATTATCAGCTGCTTTAATTTGGAGTCGTCATATTAGTCTGTCTGAATTTGGTGAGCCCTTACGTGGGGGTAAACATCATCCCTTGTTTTTACTCGTTCTACAACGTTTATCACAAATTGTTAGTGAAGATGTAAGTGAAACAATTTGTATATCTGGAGAGGGATTGAGTGACAGACGTTCCTTGCTCATCCAATTATTTCAAGAGAGTGAATTGCAAATGAATCAAATGGTCCCAGGTTCGTTTTTTCTGTCAAATATTTCCTTTTCAATTAGATTTTTGTAACCATTTTCTAAGGATTTGAACTATTACTGAAGCATACAGAGGCAGCTACAGTATATGTTCTGTGTGCTACCATTCAGGATATACATTTACGGAAGCCACTGTACGCTACCTCCAGTGTGTGTATGAATTAAATGTTTTCGGACTTGAACACTTTATTCTACGTCATTCTATGTTTGTAAATGTTCAACATATATTTCTAATAGTAGTATTTACTTTTATTACACTTATATTTTATCTATAGAAGGGAGTCAAACAAACGAAGCTTTGTTGTCTTTGCTAGAAGAACGTAATTTAGATTTTCTCGTCCCGAGCTTACGATTGTCAGCGGAACTATCTAACCTCATTATGGATACTTCATCCTTAGAAGGGAAATGTCCAGAAGAGTCTGACAAAATCACAGCTTCTAAATTCAACGATTATCTTTCAAATCATCCAATTGATGCCAGGATGCGAGCATCAGACTACGTTCATGCTTGCTTGCCAGTCATTTATGAATATATTCATAGAGTAGGAATTATTGATCTTGGCAGTTTGTCTTCACCCCCCACTTTAATGGCCAGAGAAAAAGCTGCGTGGGAGTGCATAGTACCTCATGTACTTATTGAAGTTTTACGAAGCTCAACAGACCGACAGTTGGATGCTCTTCATGACCTGCAATCCTTCTGGGTTGATAAAAATATGCCTAAAGGTCAGTATACTTTCAAATTATGTTGTCCAGTGAATCATTTTCATATCAGTTGGTGGTAAAAAAATTTCATATGTATTTGAGTTTTATCATGATAAACTTAATGGAATAATTGAAAACGCTTATTTTGCTTTTATATGGGTTCCTTTGCTGTTATCTTTCAGTTATTTTGCATCCTATTTGTAGATTTAATTCATTTAACATAGGATGGTAGTGCTTACTCTAAGCTACATCATTTTATGCTTTTTGATGACTTCTGAATGTTATTAATTTGATATTTAAAAATCAAAGTTGTTAAACTTTATTGATGAGAGCATTACAGAAGACATCATGAAGGTTCAGAAGAGTATTTAGTAGAAACATTCAATCACTTGATAGAGTTTCAAACTAAAACTGGGTAACTTGACCATATGTTATGTATCCGTAGTCGTTTCTAGGATTTTATCAGAAACGACACAAATAGTCTGACATCAATGAATCGAAAACTTTTCAGTCACATAAAATTTCTTGTTAGTTCCTTGTTTTTAAGTTAAATGCAAGCTGCAGCAGATGATACACTGAATTTCTTTGAGGCTATAATGGATAGGACTTACATGGTTTACAAATTTATAATCAATTAATCATCCTTTTTTCGACATTATCTACGACATTTTGGTCCAGAAGGTACGGTCAGTAGAATCTTCTTACTTACACTCATCCTAATATGAAGTCATCTACCTGGTCTTTATCATCATCATGATTCGTAACTTTTAGTTTCACTTATACTTGTTCTTTTGTAGGAATATGTTTCTAGGTAGTACACGTTGCGTGGGTCTCATGTGATTATGAGGTGCTAATTCTCGCTGACTGTTGGTGTAGCAAGAATCTCCTATAGATAACTTCCACACAGACTGGAATATCCTTGGGTTTCTTGAAAACTCGGTCTTTGACAGATTACTGTGATTTTTATATTCGCACCTATTCATATTGGGAGATGTGATCATGTGCTTTTCGTATCGTATAATGTTGCTTGGTTTAGATTTTTTTAAACTCGAAGTGCTCATATATAACTAGTCACCTTAAACTTACGATAAGGAAATTTAATTTCCCTTCTTCAAGCCTTTTGACAAACACAGCACTATCTACCATTGGGAGTATTTTCGTTGCTCATAGTTTTCAGCTTAACTCAATTCGCTCTACATTGTTGACGTCACTCGGTTGGCATCCACTAGTTGGTTCGTAATAAAAGTCCTGAAAATAAATGAATTCCATAGAAACAATTAATCTTCTCTTCTTTGAATGGTGGCTTAGTGGTTAAGGTGTTCAACCTTCAGGTTTGTCTCCCTTCTTCATCTACCTCGGTTTGAGCAACCTTGCAATATCATTAGTCCTCAAACTTAGTATGTGACTCATACTCAAGTACCTGGCGAGTTAATTAATTTCCATTCTTTGTTTTTGAATTATCTTCGTCGGTAGTCCGTGACTAGATCGTTTATTCCTATTATCAATGAAATAAGGACCGAATTGTTTTGACGTCTATTCGATGTACAAAATTTCTAATTTACGCTTAACATTTTGAAACTAATCTCCGTTAAGGAACTGCGTTATTGTAAAAAAAGAAACTAATGGATTATTTGCTTCGTTCAAGTCTCTAGCTATTAATAATTCCCCAATAATTTTATACCAATTAGCTTTCCAGTTAAAGGAATATGTCATAAAAAAGCTTTGTCTAGAAATGAGTTTTGTCAGCACTAAAGCAATGCTCGTTTCATGTTTTATTACAGGGTTTTTGTTTCGTTGTTTTATGAACCTTTATAATTGTGAACTTGTATGTGAAGACGCCTTTTTATCATGGAAAGAAGAAGTGAATCCCAGTTATCCTGCTAAAGGACAAGCACTATTTGAGGTACACTGTCATGTTAATTTGATATTTTATGGTAATTATTCAGTGACTTATACATTGTAGAATCTAGTTTATATATACATCAGTTCAGGTTGCCACATTATATCAAGAGAACTGTGATATCAGAATATTAGAGATAATGACATCAGTTGTAGTAGAAAGAGTCAGCATATGTATGGTTCAAGAAGAAAATATGAATTTGTGCAATGCAAAAGCACGAGATAATTTTAAAATTCAGGATCTAAGGGAAGGCAAAAGCAAATGCATCTGTCCCATCGCAACCGATGGTGACTCATGTTACTCAACGTCTTCAACCATTTATCACAGGGTAGCTTACATCTACAAACCAAGAGCTACTAACTTATGCCGTTACTTGCTTTGAAGGTTACTAGTTTGTTTTCCAACCTATTTCTACCTCAACCAACATCGCGCGTCGAATTAGGTGGTGTTTCTGTGGACGCGAACGTATCCCATTCACTGCGGTTGATAAAAATTCACAGTCTCATTAAATAATTTTCCATTTTTGTTTGATATAACGCTTTACAACCATTAAGTAAAACAAAGCAAACTTCTGAACAGCATACTCCCTCGTCATCGACAGACGAAGATCTCGCCTACACAACTAACGATGCGAGTTAGCAAACCTAAGCAAGCTGTTTGAATACTAGCCAGGATGAGTAAATTGGTCGATGCAATCATCTATTTCACTCCATTTGATCAATCCAACCAACAACGCAGACCCGTCTTGAATCAGCGTTTTCTATCCAGAGGAGGAGAACATATCCCAAACATGCATTGTTGCTCAAAGGTGATCAGAAAACTTCCGATCATCTCTCGATGCACTAGTTGTTTTCGTTCATCGTTTCTTCCTTTCTATAGGACTTTGAGTTCAATATCCATATTCTGAACTGCATTTTTTGGTGTATGTTTATTTGTCTGTTGGACATACCACCATGGTGTTAATTCACTTTCTTTTTTGCTCTTACCTATCCTCTGATTTATACATGTAGAGAATCCTTCTTACCCACAGAAAAAGTTGACATCCGGTGACCGTCAAAATCTAAGCAAAAATCCACTATTACCATATTATTTTTATTTGATAATTTAAACTTGTTTGTTTCATTGCTTCGGTTTTGTATGTTTTTTACCTTGACATCATAGTTCCTATTAGGGTACGCAAACTATTTTATTAAATCTCTCTTGTTAATTATTTCATCACAGTGACTTTTATTTTCAGGTCAATCGTTGGTTAACGTGGTTAGAAACAGCAGAGGAAGAAGACGAAGAAGACCAATGTAAATCTGATTCAAATGAGGATCATGCAAAGATAGTTCAAGAAAGTTCAGTGGATTCAGAAAACTCAGAAGCTTCTAAATCTCCCAACCATTTTATTGATATTGAGTCTCATAATATGCCACTGGCCCTACATCCCAATTCAGCAGCTTTGCGTTCTTGAATAACCCCTTTAGTTTCCGAACTTGGTATCAGTTTTGTGTGTTGATATGATAATGATGCATGTAAATCCTAGATTGTATGTCTTGCATGGAAAATCGGTTTTGAAACCTCGTCTTTATCAAAACAATTTTTTCGGACCTTCAATCACATTGGGCTTCAATTTTCCTTATTATATTATTATCAAAAATCCTGGCTTTCATTTTTCTTCCTGACACTTGGTTACCTAAGTACAAGGTTGTCTCGTTTATGTAACCATTATTCATGACTTATGGTGAATGAGTTGCTCTTTAATTTTAGCAGTGTTGAAGTACCACTGGTAAATGTGTCTAAAAAATTGTTACAAGAACCTACATCCAGCTACCGAGTTTCATCAACATTTAATCTGGTCCACTTAATTTTTGCTACCACTGATCCATGTAAACTACAGTACCATATACACACCAATTGCATCGTAAGTTGCATTTCACTGTAACTTCAAGTTTAAGCTTAGGTAGTTACACTTCAAATATTTGTACGTTATCCAATGGAAATTATTTCGATATAGGTGATTGAGATCAGCCGTTCTAACTTTTCCTCTAGATAGCCAATATTTTCAGTAATATTAGATTCTTACTCAGTATGACAGGTGTTATCAGATAAAATTACGTTTTGGTACACAGTTATTATCCATCGTGAAGAATAATACTAAATTTATTGTTGATTGGTCATACATACATGAGCATTGCAATTATACATAAGGGCATAGAAGCAGATTTAAATGGGATGGCGGACAGGAAATTTCAAAAACACCAGAGAAGTTTTAGAAGCCTGGCACTCAGGTCAATGAGCAATCAAGAAGCATATTGAAATCGATCCAATTTATCAACCAATCAGGAGAATTATGCACAAATATAGGAACAAAAATCAAACCAATGGGAGACAACCAAAACAAAGAAGTAAACAATGACAAGTTTAAGGTCAATAATAACCAATGAACGTCGAGGTGTACAGAACAACCTATAAGACGCATACGGAAAAAATGAACACTTCACTTCTATCTGAAGTTTTTGCTGATGATGTCGTTCAGAAGAACGATGGAAGCTCCACGACCAAACCATCTAGCTCAGAGAACAAAACTCCATCAAGATTTAAATGGGGCTGGATTTTAGAGTCGTGGGTTTGTATTTGTTCGATGAGAATAGTTCATCAAAATTAGACCGTCCTGAATGATAAGTGTTGTTTACCAAATAACCATAAACGTTATTTAAAAAATAAAAGATGAATATCTGTCTATCGTCAGTTAAAAACCATATTTTATTTTGTAAAAATTTAGAATCCGAGTCTTCAGCTCAACATATCGACATCTTTCTGTTGCTAGGTACCTCGGTTAAATTCATTGTGAAGGAACTTACTTGTCAAATACATGAGGCTATACTGTTTTATGTTCATATATATATATCAGTAAATTAATCATTTCATTAGGCTTAAAGAAACAGTGACGCGAATGACTGGTAAAATAGTAATTGTCTACTGTGAAATGATTGCAAACTCCGAGAATTTCAATGAATTCAGCCATATCTTTTATGACGATGTTCTTTTGGATATTGTACCTTATGAAACACTTAAATCTGTTATAACACTAAATCCAGTAATTTCATTTATAATGTCTATCGGATAGTTTTTGATATGTACGTAAGAACCCTCACGAATGAATAAGCTGATCGAAAGCCGGAATTTCACGTACGATCAGGTTCTGAAATTCGTCCTTTGGAATTCATTCAGTGTTGCTTGTATGATGAGCTTGTAGGTTCATTAGACCACGATTGGTTTCCTCAATGTTAACAAAGGAGCAGTCGACAAATCAGATAGAAATCGCTGAATGGTCTAGATAAATTTTTGGCTAGATTTCTGAACAGATAATGGTGACATCATTTGTGTGCCCTATGTTGGGAAATGAGCTTGGTTCTTTGTCGCTTAGAAAGCAATCTTAATCTCGAAATCCTTTTTAAACGAGAAGTTTAACATTCGTAAAATCTCAAGTTATTTCATTTCTAGCTGTTTACGCACTTTGAGTAATCTCTTGAAACTAAATGACAATGTATTTAAAGACTGGAATGTCTTTTGACCACCAGACCTCTTTAATACTGGTGAACCACACTTGAAGTCTTTTCAATTTAATCTCACACCTATGTATAATATGATATAAATATTCGAATCGACTTCGATACAATCTGGGACCCAAGGTCATATCTTGAGCAATGTCTATCCATTTTTACCTTGATGTACAAGCTAAAATGACGAAATGTTTCGGTTTTTTCTTCTTACATGTTCAAGTGAGTTAGCTGTGAGAGGAGAAGTCAGTTAAGCTGTTCATGTACGTAGCATTCAGTGTTTGTTTTGTAATATTTGATTAAAAAAACATTTTAAAATAGGAATTATACACTTTTGGAACTTTTACTTATTCTCCTAGCGTGAATAAGAATTTCCTGCTTTACATCTCCGTAGTAGTACTTGTAACTACGTTAGTTCGAAGTACAGACATATTGATTTATTCAATAAAAGTTTCTTCCAATTTAACTGACTTATTTATTTTACATGTATAAGTGTTTTCACCTTACAAATGGGAAGCTACTGCAAATGTTGATGTAGACCTCGAACAATTTTCCAGAGAGTCAGAGAATATTTACAACAATTTACCATACGGAAAATGATTCTTACCCAGCTTTTGAGAAAAATAGTGTTTATCATATTTCTGTCTAATTTAGCAATCTCTGATCATGTATATTTAATTTCACTTGCTTGAAAAGGTCGACCACTAAAACAATCTGTCCCTTTCTTTATGAATCAGTAAGATTAATGCAGCCAATATCAAGTTTTAGAATTGAAATTGTATCATGTAAAATTATGGAAATTATCTTATGAGAGTAATTAAATGTACTTTTTTATTCTAACTCTGAATAAATTAAAAATTCACTTTCAAAACGGGGCTTTATGGAGATTATTAATTTTAATCGTTGAGTTCATGAATCCATCTAATCTAGAACACCATCGAAAGCGTGAAGGACGTTCGTTTAATCTTAGTGTGGGACACCTTGGCAGTTCTCATACATTTATTTATTTGAACACATAAATATTGGTACAAGAGAGCGCCAATATATATGCGCCACACAAAACAATGAAAATTCGAAGAGAGATAGAAAAAGAAAAAAAAAACTAAGGACCACAAAAGGTAGTGTGGTCGTAACGATGGAACAGAAAGGTACAATCAAAAGAAATCTTTCAAGTAAGGGAGACACAACCACTATTATGAAGAAAGTAAAAGAAGGTTACAGCACGATCGCCACTGGCTTCTATTCTGAGCCATATCTGATAACGTCTCTAGCCACTGTGTAGCACCATCTCTCAGACCCCAACCAGGGAGTCGTGAAGGACCAACACAAGCCAGTCCTTTGCAGCTTTCTTTCATACCACGACACCATGTCATGCACTGACCACCTCTCCGCTTTTTCCAACCAGTTCCAGAGTCGGCAAATAATGCACGACGTGGAATTCTCTGGGACGACATTCGTAGAACATGTCCAAGCCACCGAAGTCGGTGTTTCAAGATGGTGACACCAAGTGAATTATCATCTCTGTGCCCAAACACACGATGCCGAACCTCTGCATTACTAACATGGTGTTGCCACTGAATGTCAGCAATCCTTCGGAGACAGCGATGATCGAACACAGAGAGTCGTTTAACGTCCTCAACTCGGAGAGGCCAGGTTTCACAAGCATAGAGCAAAACTGCTCTCACCGACGCGTTGTAGATCCGACCTTTTACAGCCAGACTAACATCACGAAGGCGCCAAAGGTGGCCCAGATTGGCATAAGCCACTCTGGCTTTCACTATACGTGCATTGATCTCATCACTCACACCCCCACCAGCACTTATGCAGCTACCCAGATACACGAACTTCTCGACTACGTCTATCTGCTCACCATCCAGGGTGAGTACAGGATTGGAATCCTGCCAGTCTTGTAGAAGTACTTTGCACTTCGAAGGTGCAAAGCACATACCATACCTACGGACACTGATTGCCAACTGATTAAGTGCAGATTGCATGCCTTGGGTATTATCGCACAGTAAGACAATATCGTCCGCATACTCAAGGTCGAGAAGTCATTCTCCAGGCAACAGATTCACACCACCATTACTTACATTCATCAGAGCTGTTTCCAGAATGTCATCGATGGCAAAGTTGAAGAGGAATGGTGAGATTTGGCAACCCTGCCTAACCCCACTACTCGAATGGAACAATGGAGAGAGGTGGTTGTATGCCCTCACTCTGCCTGAGGTGTTTTTATATAAGGCTTTCAGGATGTTAATAAACTTCTCAGGCACACCCTTCTTCAATAGACAATCCCAGAGAACAGTCCTGTCCAACGAATCGAAGGCAGCCCTAATGTCAAGAAACACTACGATTGTTAGCCTTTGATAAGTATGGCGATGTTCTAACATTTGGCGGAGGGTGAAGATATGATCAATACAACCTCGACCGGAACGAAACCCAGCCTGCTCCTCGCGAGTCAATCTTTTTCGGGTTTTGAACAGTCTGCGAAGTATGACGGAATCCAATAGCTTGGACGCAATCGGAAGTAGACTTATCCCCCGATAGTTGTTACAGGAACGACGTGAACCCTTTTTAAAGATAGGGGCAACTATCGACTCATTCCATTACGTTGGTACACTCTCCAGTTCCCAGACCTTTGTAAACAACGTTGTCAGTTCCTTAGCCAGAGAGTCACTACCATCTTTAAAAAGGGCCGCAGATAAGTCATCTGGGCCTGGTGATTTTTAGCGCTCCAAGAGTTGAAGTTCCTTGCGGACTTCCTCCTCGTTTGGTGGATCAGTCGTCACCGGCCATGGAGGGCAGGACAGTCTGACCGATGTTGCCGGAGCAGCAGACCAGTTGAACTGCCCTTCGAAAAATTCTGCCCATCGTCCAAGACGTCGATGGATCTTAGTGATTGGCATCCCATCATCCTCGCAGATTGTTTCACTCACAGCAGACTTCTTGCTGCCAGTGGCTCGGATGAGCTGGAAGAGCTTCCGGTAGTTACCAGATGTAGCTGCTGCTTCCAGCTCATTAGCACGCTCCGACCACCAGGCTTCTCGGTCCTTACGCAAGCTTTGCCCAATTTCCCTACGTAACATCCTTCG